TGGGACGTGGAACACGCTGCGTCAGAGCCCCAGGGTCGCCCTCGGCGGCATCGCGGCGCCTGCCCCACGCCGCCACCCGTCTGGGGAGGGGGCGTCCTGCCGGGGGTGAGGGAACCCTGCCAGGGTTAAGGGGTCTTGACAGGCTGGTGCAAAGTATGGATGGCGCCCTGGCTGGCTTTGGGGACAGATGAAAACTAACTTGTTGATTAGCATCAGTCCTCAGAATAGAACGCTTTAAAAATGGAGACAGGGCCGGCCTGTGGCTCACTCGGGAGAGTGCGGTGCTGATAACACCAAGGCCATGGGTTCGGATCCCATATAGGGATGGCCGGTTTGCTCACTGGCTGAGCGTGGTGCTGACAACACCAAGTCAAGGGTTAAGATCCCCTTACCGGTCATCTTTTAAAAAAATAAATAAATAAATAAAAATGGAGACAATGGTTGCCTTGAGGGAGCAAAAGAACTCATAAAGTTTTGTGAAATTCTAACCCAACGACCGGACCTGTAAGAGATTCCAGATCTACTGCTCTTTTGACTTTTAAGTCAATTCCTTACACATATTTGTAATTTAAAGTTGAACCGGAATTTCCAGTATTTCTAATTTAAAGTTGAACCAGAATTTCTGAACAGGGCCTTAGAGTGCCGCTGGTTGGTCCACTTCTTTCTGTCCAGCGAGACTTAGTCACTCCGGGATGACAGCTGCCTACGCTTATGCAGGACGGCCAACTTTTTTTAGAGAAACTTAAACCGTCAACCTCTGAGTCCCAGTTTTTTCTTGTGTAAAATGCAGGAAGCGAAACCAAATTATTTGAGCAAACAAGTTTGTGCAAACGCCCGGGGCCAGGGGAGGGTTCCGTGGATTCTTCCCAAGTGGGTGGCGGGGGATCTCCAAATGAAGTTGTCGCCTGCCTCGGCCTCCCTGAACTCTCGCGGAAGGTACCGAGAGAGGACCGTGGGGAGGTGGGAGGGAAGCTGGCGCCTGGGCCGCTGCGGGTCCCCGCCTCTAGGATGGGGAACAAAAGAGAGGAAGCCACAGCGCTGAGCCCCGGTGACGGGCTTTGTTCGGCTATGGAGTCTGAACTGTGGGGAGCCCTCAAAGGGATTCATCTCAATTACTTAACCAATGTTGCATACACACAGATAATGTCTATCTTTTATTTTTTTTTAATTCATTTTTTGGCGGCGGGCCGGTCAGGGGATCTGAACCCTTGACATTGGTGTTGTCCACACCGCCCTTTGACAGACAGAGGTCGACCCTCTTTACCTATTTAGAGCTCCAAGCTCCAAACTGACCCATTAAAAATGTATCCATTACGCAGGACTAAATTCATACCTAAAGGCCCTTAGCAAGAAAAATTATGGTATTTCTCCCACCACCCACTACTCCTCCACCGTCTAAACCATAAAATGTGTTTGGAAGTCCAAAAATGTTATGGTTTTGTTTTTTTCCTGTGATGACATCTTCAGCATTTTAAAGAATAAAATTATTACTTTTTCCCTTTCTTTTGGTGTTCCAGCTTTTCTGGTGCTCTAGAAATGTTTGCTCTGCCTATTGTGAATCCACCCTGCTCTGGTGACTTCTCATCAATCTGACCTCTTTATTTTGCATCAGAAGACTCTTGCCCTTTCACCTACAAAATGCCTCCATCTTTTCCTTTTTTTTTTAAACCTGTGAGTCACTTCCCCTATTTAAGGGTAAGCAAGCTTTCTTTTGCTTTTATTTGCCTGTGAAGGAGAAGGCTCCAGGGAGTAATCTTTGGACCAGACTTTCCAAGCCCATAAAGGATGAAGCACACTGAACTCTGCACTTCCAACTCCTTTCAGCTTCACAAGTCTGTGAGAACATCGAACTAGTGGCAAGAATAACACCCAACGTTGGATGTGTGCAGTGAGGCCAGTCCTGGGGAGTATCAGGCCATTACCATGGATTGCGATGACTTGAGATTCCTGACGTTTTTAGTTATCTCCAGGATTAGACTGACCTTCACATCATGGCCTCCTCGGCCCTCCAAATATCTTAGTATTGTATTCATATGTATCATTGCTCATGCAGTTCTCTCTACCTTGTTCACTGGGAATTTATCCCTCAAAACTCAGAACAGATGTCACCAACTCCTGACAACCTTAGGTAGAATCCATCATTCAAACAACTCTGCTGTACCTCTGTACTTTGTGCACATTTTTATGCTTGACTTTATCATACAATATTATTTATTTCTTTACATGTTCTTTTTCTTTGAGGTCAAGAAAGTTCTTTTTTCTCTTTGAGGTCCCTAACACACATAATAATGTTGCACTGGGCAAGTGTTCAATAGTTGAAATGAGTTAAATTTCAGTTTGTGAGTGGCTGGTTATTTTTCACAAATACCGTTCTATCATTTCTTAGAAGTCACTCTTAAGCAAAAATTCTCCTAGATTATCAAGATAACCAATAGTACTCGTAATTGACCTTCATAAATGCTTAACAGCAGTGGTTCTCAAGGTGGGGGTCCTGATCAGCACTATTAGCATTATGAGGAAATTTGTTAGAAATGCAAATTCTCAAGCCCCACCCAAAACTTAGTAAATCAAAAACTCTGAGTGGGCCCAGCAATCTGTGTTTTAATAGATCCTCCAGATAATTCTGATAGTCTCTAAAGTGTGAGAACCATTGTTTCACGGAAATGCTTTTTCATGGTGTGGTCTGGGAACTAGTGCATCAGAATCTTCTGGGGTGCTTACCAAATATTCTGCTTCCTACCCCAGACCTACTGAATCAGAATCTATAGGGGGTGGGACCCAAGGGCCTGCATTTTTAACAATACCCCTTTGGAGTAGTCAGCACTTTCCTTTACAAAGCACTCATACTTGAGCCTCACAACAGCCTGGAAACTTGATGGACTAGGAGTACTGTCATCTTAATAATGAAACAGTCTCCGGGAAATTATGTGATTAGCCCATAGACTTAATGACTGACTAAGCAGCAAGCTAGGCAAGACTAGGTCCCAGGGGCATGACCTGGGCTAGTTACATAATTTCTCTTTGCCTTCATGTCCTCAGGGATAAAGTGGAGATAATAATAGTTCTTCATGTTCCAGGTAAAGTTACATGGGTGTTCATCGTACTAGTCTTTCAACTTTTCTGTGGGTTTAGAAAACTATTTCAAAATTAAAAGTTAAGGATATTGTTCAGTGATGAGGGAGAATGAGCAGACCTGTAACTAACTAAATGCAATATCATGTCAATGAAAGAAGCTACATGCAAATACATGCTACACAAAAGCAAGCAAACCAAGCTCTGCTGTTAAAAGTAAGGATGGCAGTTGCACTGTGGGAGGTGGGGGGACTAGAAACTGGAAAAGGCCACAAGGGGCCTTGGGGGTGCTGGTAATTTTCTATTTCTTATTCTGGGAAC